ACCAGAGCAAAGAGTTGCTTTTACATTGCGGTATATGTTCGGATTACTCGTAGTCTAACAATACATATGTGTAAAAACAATTTGGCAATTAATATTATAATATTGATTTGATAATGATGTTACAGATTTCTGATTGGAGGCAAAGTTCCAGCAGTTGCTTTTGCCTATCTAATGTTGGTTTATCAACAGTACATAAAATAATTAAAGAGACGTGTGACGTATTTGAAAGACTTTCTTGGTCCTATCTATCAACAAACTCCTTCAAGAGAAGAATATTTACAAATTGCTGAGGGTTTTTGGACATTATGGAATTTTCCACATTGCTTGGGGGCAATTGATGGAAAACATGTCGATGCTCAATGCCCCCCTAATTCTGGTACGCTGTACTTTAATTATCACATACGGTACAGCATCGTACTTTTGGCTGTGTGTGATCACAATTATCAATTCACTTTGGTGGATATTGGGTCAATGGGGAAGAACAGTGATGCGAGAATTTATGGGAACACCCAGTGAACACATTTCATAACGGCAATATAACATGGAAGTTACATGTAATATCACAATGTTATTCTTGTGATATCATAACATGGAAGAAACATGCAATTTAACATTTGTTATATGCAGGTAATATAACTGTTATACATTTTTTTTGGCGTTACAGTTATGTAACAAAAATTGTGTAATTGTTACGTAACACGCTTGGATCAATGTTAGTATAACTAGTAATATTCTGGTAATATTAATGGAGTGTAACGGAATAACATATACAATATAAGACTGTTGATTTGCTTACTGCTCACGTTTTTCTTTGTGCCCAGGCTTTTAAACCCTGCATCGTTTTATTTTGCTAGAGCTAATAATGATCTGCGCTTTTCATCATAAATTTTCGATTGTTTTTAAATATATATATCTTGTTTGAAAGGTTTAATATTGTGCAGAGGCCCTTTAGTTTGCCTTAAGGCAAAAATTATGATTTACAAAATACATAATTTATAATTAATAATTATTAATAATTTACAAGATATTTCTAATTTATATGATCAATTTATATAATCATCCATCCATATCGGTAAATAACGTAATTAATCATCATGATGCATATTACCATTACATGTACCATTTTAGTAGAATGCATTTACGTACTGCTTCTATGTACATATAATAGATATAATGTCAATATTAAAAATTTGTGCAGCTATATACTCTTTTTAAACTTAATTTGTTTCTCAAGATAATTTTTGAAAAATTATATATTTGCGCTGGTTGTGACATATGTAGACTGTATATAACACTTACATCAAATTAAGAAGTAGCCTACCACGTAAGGCAGTTGGCTCACGATCCAGAGGTCCCGAGTTCGAATCCCACCAAGGTAAGTGTGTTTTTTAAATACGAGAAAATATTTATAATCATAGACTGCATCTTAAGAAACAAATTTAATTAGTTATAAAATGGTAATAAAATCTCGAAAAAAAAAATATTTTTTACGCTCATTATTACAGCTAGTACAACAGTTGGTGTAACTGTTACGTAATAGTTAAATAACACGTTATGTAACATGTTATATTGCTGAGTCAGAAATTGTAACTTACATGTAAGTTACATGTAACACTCTGGTTGATATAACCTGTTATATTCGGTTACATTGCCGTTGCATTGCTACTATATTACTGTGTTCATTGGGATCTGTGTAAAGAAACTGCACTGCATTTTCATCAGATTGATTTAATTTTAACCATGCAGTCAGCGTAGTATTTCGATTAAGCTCTCTTTGAGCAGCTTGCTCTTCATTTCCCGCTCGAAAATAAACCATTTGGCGATTAGGCAAATGAACTGCCAGTCTTATGACTGTGTGAGACTTCATGAACAGATCATATCCGTTCAGTCTCCACATTGCTTCTGGAGCACTGACATATCTTGCATTCAGGAATGAGTTAACTTCATCTATTCTAATGAATCTTGTGCCATCTCGTGCTTGTACTTCAATTGCAGCACAGTCAAATCCTTTATGAATATATTTGTATAAATATTTTACTCTCTTCACTGATGAACATATTTCCAAATTTATATGTCGATTATATTTCATTATTAAATATGGTGAATATGGGACCACCCATCGATTGTCAATTTTTTTGCCTCTGACGATGTATTTTTTCTCAAAATTTCTACGTTGATACATAGGATATCCATTCACATTAGCATTAGTTTCTTCAAGAAATTCTTTTGGAAAACCTTTTAAACATTTTCCATCTTCCCCAGTGCAAGGATATCTCATTGAGGGATCTCCACATGGACCGTGAATCATATGTTTCAAATCTTTTTCATTAAGTTCTCGATATCTTTCTTCGTTAGGGATTTCAGCCCATACCATCATGTCAATGACTTCTTGAAGTCGTGGCTTATCTTCATCACTTAACATTGCAAATAAATGCAAATGTGGAAGCCCTCTTTTTTGAAACTCAATCACGCCTGCATAAGCTATAATATTTCCAAAAATTTTATTTTGGATTAAATCCTTTAAAACTTCTTTAACATCCAAGTTAAATGTTTTAGCAACTAAATCAGGTTGAAACTCTATTAGACATCCATCAAGGTTATTCTTAATTTCTGGACATTGAGGATTGCAAGTCATGGTAAGAAAAATGTCTGGTTTACCAAACTTTCTGACCAAAGACATAGCATCTTGGTATCTTTCTTGCATGTTCCTTGGACTGCCCATAAATAAAGATGGTAATATTACAGGTATACCAACTGTAATTCCTTCATTTTGTGCTCGATTATCAAGATGATCCATTAATCCGGGATAAAGTTCAGCTCTTAATTGAAGTTGATTCAATTTAATATAATTAAGTCTATTGGCTTCAGTTTTCATATATGCATCAAGTATAAATTGACATCTCAATTTTCCTGCCCTTTTAAATTGGCTAAATTCGACTCTTGGTGCCAGCAAATGAGCATAATAATCCATTTGACTTATCTTAAATCCTGGATATTTAGGATTATTTGATTTAAGTTCTGAATGCCATCCATCGTTACGTTATATCCATCGTTATATGGATATAACAATGGATAACACATTGGATCACATCTTTTATCCAAAATTGATATTTGTTGTACATCGTTCGAATTTTTATTATAAATTCTAATGTCTCTTTCAAATGGAGGTTCACCATCTACATTCTGAAAGACCACAGCTATTTCATTAGCTTGTGGAGCATTGTATCTTCTTTGATCATGTTGAGGATCTTTTCTAAATGACAACATTAAATTTATTGTTTTATTGCCTATTGGATTCAGATCTTTTTCAACGACGCATCATCTTAAAAGTTTTTGCAAATTCATTACATTGAACCATAAAACATGACAAATCTTTCATTATTTCTGGATCACATTCTTGATTAGATTTATTATTCATTCTATGATTTACAGCTTCTTCTGTATCTAAAAAGTAAAGTTGTGCAAATCGCGGAGCTTGCCCATCCGCTGGGCGCATTGCCGTCGAGGTCAAGTGATGATATTGCCCATGAATTTTTAAACAATAAGGATCATTGTTCACAACATCCAATGGATTTCTATTTCCCGGAACACCCATGGAAGCCATAGCTAAAGCGCTGTTATATGAACGAATATTACTAAAGAAATTTTTTGATACATAATTATTTCCCATGTATAATTCTCTAATAAAATCAGGACGATTTATTGGTTTTAATTTAAGCTTTAAAATATAATGGCGAAAGAAATTTATTATTCTGTTTTAATTTAAGCTTGCCCTTTTGGCAACAATATGTAAATTTTCCATCTTTAGATTTTTCACATGCAAAGTTTAACGATTTGCAAAATTGACATTCTACATTCATGTGGCCATGTGTATAAACTGGCACATTTATTTCATGTCCCTTGAAAATTAGCGCAATGTGATGATTTAATTGTCTAGCTTGGTGCCTTTCCTGAGCATGTCTCTGGACATCAGCTTTGAGTCGTTGAGTCCTTGCGTCATCATTTTTATTGACCCTCTGCTGAGCATGTCTCTGAGCATCAGCTTCGAGTCGTTGAGTTCTTGCGTCATCATTTTCATTGATGATCTGCTGAGCATGTCTCTGAGCATCAGCTTCGAGTCGTTGAGTCCTTGCGTCATCATTTTCATTGACCCTCTGCTGAGCATGTCTCTGAGCATCAGCTTCGAGTCGTTGAGTCCTTGCGTCATCATTTTCATTGACCTTCTGCTGAGCATGTCTCTGAGCATCAGCTT